TTTTCAACCGCATTGCCTCCTCGCAGTTCCACGATGTCTGTTGGGCGTCAAGCAGCTGGTGGTCGAGCGTCCCCTCCCTCGCCTTTCCGACCGTGACGTTGGAATTCGCGGGCGGAGCGACACTGGATCTGGAGCCTCTGCAGTACCTTTTTCAACACGGCAGTCGTAAAGGAAGCTACTGCCTGGGGATCTTCGACAATGGGGATAGGGGAACCATCCTCGGAGCCATCTCCTTTCGCAACGTGCTCGTTCGGGTGTGCACGAGTTTGTGAATTCTGGAAGTGGGAGTTGGTGGCAACCGCGGTGTTGCGTAGACCACCGCGCAGCGATCTTTACATTGTTGGAGTGATTGATTTGCCGATCTAACAGTAGCTCATATGTCGTGTGGTGGTGTGAAAACTCACTGTGTAATGTGATGAAGTAAAATTCATGCTTATGCCACCACCAAATTGTGATTGCAGTCCCATAATGTCAAAAAAATGACTGTATCAATAACGTGGACTTTATTACGCGATCGCATCCCCGGTCCTTCCTGTACACATGACACGCGTCTGATCGAACATTATATGATGATACGTGTACTCGTAGAATTTTCCAAGCACTCGCGCGAATGATCACTAACATAAAACAACACTTTGAGATGCCAATTGCGCGATGTAGTTTGATATTGTGTGGCACAGCCATAGTGGCTGCGAGGGAATGAAGCAGTTGCGATGGCATCAAGCAGAGCCAAATCGCACCTCATTTGACATCTTGAAATAATGCATTCTACTGTTGCTTTGTACAAACTACTGCTTGAGAAACATGGCACATACACCCGTTTTCAATTTTGCAGCAAGAAGACACTGCTTTTCTCATGTCGACAATGTCGCAATAAATCTCGCATGGTTCCTTATGCCATTAGTTTATCAACACTGGCGAATTAGGCGCCAAGGAAAGGTTGAAGTGAAGCGACCACTTGAACCACTTTTGCATCACCAGCGCATTCTGGCAATTTATCACGACAAATATCGTACATGAAGTCAAGGAGGTAGCTTCCCATAAGATCTTCATTTAGCCACCACAAAACTTCGTCAACTCAATAATATTGTCGACGGTGCTGACAAGATACAGACAAAAATGTGTTTAAGAATTTGCTAATTTAGAAAAAACGATTTAAAAAATGCACAGGATCTTCTCATTGAATGTTTAGCTTATTTTTCACATTGCTGAGGGAAGCTCATGCAACAGTACGACAGGCGAAGCTCGGAGGTTGGTTTTGCAAAGATGGACTGCGCTCGCGTGGGCAGCGCCGCCGTTGGCAGCCCAGATTTTTTGTCTCAGGCGAGGCAACGCCAGGTGAGACAAACTCAGTAGTTCCTTTAGTTTTTCCTTAATACGGAACTGCAAGACAAAATTATGGTTTTTTGGGATCAATTGTGTAGTTAAGTACCACCAGATGTTTAGTGCTTTGGATGATTATGTGCTGTATCATGAATTGATTACAACTTGGCGTAAAACTTTTAAAAGAAGTCATGCAAAGAACAGATGTTTTAAAAATGCGAACTCACTTATAATGCACGATCAAATTTCTAAACAATTCAGCGTTACATTGTTTAGAAATATTGTGGAGCATTTATACTGAAAACGGCCAATATTTCGTTGTATTTTCAAGGTCGAGACTTGCAAAAATTGGCTTGCGAGCAATGGATTGAAAACGCTTTCTGCATGTGCTGCATGTTGCCTTGTTATAATATCACCCTTCAAGAATGCTTTCATCAGTCGAAGAAGCGCTATGGCATAGACTGACCATTCCACGATATTCCCATTTCCTCAAATTTAGGTCATTTAGACATTGTACACATTTTGGACATACAAAACAACATAAAGCGATGTATATGAGAAACGGCATAAAATGATGGGAAATCTGGGATTTGGAAAAGCCATTGTCTGTGGCACGAAAAGCTTCACACATATGTCTGATACCCTTCATTTGCGGATATCACTGGTAGAAAACAGCATGTCTGCGATGCCAACTGCGATGCTATTTTGACACAAAATGATGCCGTCACAGTGACTGCGATGGCATAAAAGTGGCTGTGATGGCATCAATTTGTGTCAAATGGCGTCGCAATTGGCACCGCAAACAGGCTGTTTTCTGCAAGTGTATGGTGATCATGAAGGTCACGAATGTCATGAAGATCATGAAGTTCATCAAGGTCATTTTTGGGCTCAACCGTTTGAGGAACTTTAGCGATTCAATTCATTCATACCCGTCATGATCTTCATGAGCCCTTCATGAATTTCATGTGAGGAAATGATAGTATCGTGCAGTACTCAGATGTCACAGAGTGACCCCATAGAATAGTAAAAGAAATGGACTAATTTTACCAAAATTTCAGTCTACAAATAAGCGCCTATCGTCGAACAGAGGTTTCCTTGCTTTGAAAAAGAATGTGGAGGAGACTGCGCGAGCCGCTCAGGGCCCCTGGACAGAGTGCATGGCTTGGAGGGATGGGAGGACGACTTATTGTGCTCATCATATGAAACATAACTGTTGAGATTGCGACAGAGGAATTCGTGCCCGTTAAGTCTTCCCAACAGCATTAAAGGATCTAGTGACTGGTCCTTATCATCCATGCTCAGCATCACCCTCAGCCCTGATACGCGCTCCGTTGGAAGGAGTGCCGTACGCACCTCTCGTTTCATCCCTTTCTTCACCTTGTCCTTTGGCTAAACAATAGCTACTTAAGTTAACTTGCAATGGTAGGAGTTAAAAGAACTTGAAAATCGGCGCAGCGTCCAGCTGATTATATTCGCGGGATGACAGCCAATCGAGTGTGCGTTGCGCAGTTCAGCGACACTGCAGCATGCAAGCCTCTCGTCGAGGCAGGCATCGGCGGCCTGCCGTCGACTGGGTCTCACTTCGCCGCATCCTCAAACCTTTGGAGGGCGGCCCTGGGAGGCCTCGCGGCGCTGGCGCTGCTGGGAACCGTCGTGGCGGCCGCCCTCCAGAGATGGAGCAGAAGGCGCCGAGAAGCTTCCCGCGTGGACGGCGGCACGATGTACTGCGCTATGGGCGTGCAGAGGACGCCGTTCGACACCTACGTTTCGGCGTCGTCCGAAGGGCGGGCGGATGGCGCGACCAGAGAGCCATCCTCGTCGTGACACGTGCTGGGACATTATGTCGCTTTCAGGGAAAACTGGCACAGGAATGTACGGCAAAGTGCTCAGCATTGTATTAATTCTCTCAATTTGGTTCATTGCGAGTGTGACAATGTGTTTCTTGCGTCTGTGTCTCCATCCAAATTTTGAACGTTCACGCACGTGCGATGTCTGGTTGTCGTGCTGTTTTTGCCATTTGTGTTTGAGCTATCGGCGCGGAGAGTATCCTTCAAAGGGGAAGTTGGAACAGTTTTAGCTTGGGTGATTGCCTGTGATGCTTTTGCCAACGATGATCCACGAGTGTGGCGGCTTCTTGAAAGAGGGTTCTGCAAATCTTGGGAATTCTCACGGGTTCCACTGAGCTCAGCCTTATGACGGAAGCATTGAATGTAGGTTTGTTGGGCGTGCTTCTTGAAAGACGGGCTTCACCCATACGTAGAGATGTGGTTCCGTCCGTCCTTATACAGTTTCAGGTACATCATTGTGCAGTTGCACACCGTTGTTTTTTGAATAGGCCATGATCTCATTTGATTTGCTCATAAGACAACTGCCAGTGGTGCTGCACACCCTGAGAATGGTCGCAGTGCACCTGCTTTTATCACTACGCCACTGTGGACCAAAGAGTGAGGACTTTTGGGACGTGCACACGTTTGAGTGCATACCCATACTTGTGTATGTACTCTACATGGGAGCGGTTTGATAGCACACTGAATAAGAATGGAACAGGTGTGAGCTAGCGGTGGGAGGGTTTGAAATTTGTTTTTCCGGCAGATTGCCGGTGGCCGCGTATGAAGCTGGCACATGATTGGCCATTTGGGTGCTCAGCTGGGACATCCAATTGTGGCACTGGTTGCCAATTCTCATGGACAGCATACTTCCCAACGTGCACGTAAAGGAGGTAGCGGACGCGAATGCTCTTGAATGCCACTGCCCGCCATGTGGTTTCGCACCGCATCCTGACGCCGCCAGCGGAGCGTACTCCCACAAAGGTACTGCACATTCGCAAATGCGGGATTGCTGAGTAGAGTGCGCACACTGCGGCCATCGACTTCCAGAGCCCTCCGCAGGACGGGCGCAGAGCGAAAGGGCAGCGTTGGCGCTCTTGTCAAGCTTGCGTCAGACATGCCATTGCTGCGCTGCAGACCAGGCCGGTGATATGTCTTATTAAGGGCATTGGCACAAAAGCCAGACAGAATATCAAGGCAACAGACGGATGGAGTCAGCAGACGAGATGTCGACTGCCCAGAGGCACCGGGCAGGGAAGTCAACGACATAAGGCATGGATGATTGCATCGACTGCCGACTTAAGCCAGCAACGAAGGAAGCCATTTCAGCAACTCGTTCAACCGTCATTCTGTGGGTCATGGCCACCCTTGTTAAGACCACCCAGAACTCCACAAGGACCACTTCAAGCCTCCTGGCAACACACATTTGGCGTGCAGCAACGCCACTAGCTTCCAAACTGCCCAGGGCGCACAACGCCATCTAACGTCACTGTTGGTACAGTAAGCGTAGAAAAGTTTCTCACCCAGAATACAATCGCCCCAGCACGGGGAGCACTCTCCCACACACCCACAACCCCCCATTCGGCCGCGCCGCAATAGTCGCAACCTCGCCTGGTCAGCACTGCTTCAACAACTAAACGCAATCGCGGATACAAAGCGGCAATCGCAGCACCCCTGCGCCACGAGAACCGACAACGCGCATGCATTATGCGCGTGCATGAGCATAGTTAACGCTTACACGTGCACGGGCCCCAAGGCCCTTGGAAAGACATTCGGCACCTTCTCTTCTCCTGCGACGATCCTTCCATCGGCAACCGGGCTCCCCCACGCCGCCGCCCGCCGGCCACACACTCAGCACCCGAACACGTACTTGTACAGCAGCGCCATGAGCACGAAGCCCACGTTGACGCTCACGAACGCTGCCAGGTGCCAGTATTGGTTGAACGTCCCCTCTGCCTTGACGCCCTCGAGCACGCCCGCAGCAGCGAAAAACAGCAGCGGCCCTGCACCCAGGGCGCCCGCCAGCACCTTGGCCAACAGATCGCTCCCTATATAAGGCGTCACCAGATGCAGCAGCCTTGGTGAGAAAATGAGTCCGATGCACGCCAAGTTGAGGACGGCGTTGGCACCAAGGATGCCGAACATCCACTTGGAAATTGGCAGCACGGGGACCTCGCCGTCCTTGCGCGTGATCAGGGGCTGCTTGGGAGCGAGGAAGACGACCGCTGCGGTGAGGCCGGCGCAGGCGAGGGCCGCGGGGCGGAAGGCCAGGGCGGCGGCGCTGAAGAGGGCCATGCCCATGGTGTAGGTGCCCAGGAGGTAGTGGTAGGTGACGGTGCGCAGCCAGCCGTTGTTGAAGGAGGTGGCGTGCTGGGGGGGGTTGTCCTGGGGGCGAACGCTTGCCGTGAGCCGAAAGGAAAATGAGAAAGACATGGTCAAGAGAGTCGAAGAAAAGTTGGGCATGCGATGCAACACGCCTTGGCAAGGAGGGCTTTGCACTGTGCAGTGACCATCCGTAGGGATGGAATCCGCTGTGGTGACATGAGAGGATGGCGTCGCCAGTTCGATTTTGTTGGGGTAAAAATGAAAGGCCCAGTGCATCGAGAGTTGCAACTGGCATGTCTCCCTTTTGGCACTGACAGGCAGACTTGGTCCCCTTAGTTTCACAACAAAAGCACAGAATGTGCAATTTCCTGACCAAACAGGTGTTCCTTTTCCACCTCACCCGAATAATTAAGAAACTCCACTTTACGTTCAGTGCCACCTGATCTCCGAAACATACGATGTTTGCAACACCATGCTGTGGCCATAATACTTGGGAACATTTGGAACAAGTTCGAACCAAAAAGACAAACCTGATTGGGAATGGGCAGTGGCGAGCGGAAGGGCGCCACTTGCCAGCCTTCGTAGTCATGGTTCATGTTGCCGCATAAGCCAGCGCCATAAACCTGCACCAGCCCATCACCAATTGAAATTGTTATAATAGCCCAAGACGCGCAAGCCTTGCATCTGCGATAGGAGAACAATATGATTCTAAAAAGATTCAGACCAGCATTAACACAAGATAAGAAAACACAAAACAGTGAAATTGTTTAAATGCATCAACAGTGTTAGGCTGAGTCCCCAATTTAGATAAAGACAGGACAGCAAGAAGAGCAGAAGAAGCAAGAAGGAAAAAATATGGGGCGATCATCGGTTCGGCTTGAATTGCCATGCACTGCATGCTCCATTCAGGCAGCAATGCCATCATTGTGGCAACTCAAATGCTGAATCACGGTCCCAAGCTTTGTTTCAACAGTGTGCCCGAACCCCCTGGTTGAGTGTAACCACTCAAGGCACCAGAGGGGTGTGTGCTTGCGATTTTTCAACTGGCTGAGATGGACGTAATGTAATCACTTCTTCTCTTTGTGGCATTGCTCATGATCTCTTCGGGCCAGAGGTCTGCCAGAACAAAGAACATCAACAGAACCAAAGGCCTGCATGGCAGACATGTCTGGCTCATCAGCCAGCTTTTGACTAACCTGTGTGAGGTGACCGATCATCATGATAAACACCCCCAGTGTGCCGATCTGTTTGCCCAGCACCTGAACTGCAGCGATGGCCCCCATGTACTGAAACATCATCCATGCCACGGCGATGCCTGGCACAAACGACAGCCAGTGCACAAACTCCACCGAGTTCAGCACCCATGCCTTGGCGGTGTGCGCCATCCCAGCGTCCACCAGCGACTGCTTGGGTGGAGCCTTCATGAAGCCGCAGCCTGGGGAGGGCGGCAGGATGGCGTTGGGGAACTCGGGAGGGAACTTCTGGGCATGTTCTGCTGCGGATGCCATGACTCTGGAGCATCGATGGGAGGTAGGCCTTGGCAGGCGGCGCAGAAGTGGGCCTGCCACACCTGCCACCATGGGGCAGGGCCGAGATATGGATGTCATGGCCATCTTGAGTCGATGTCACTGGGCAGCGGAACAAAAGAACCTTGAGCGGGCATCAGAATGCGCACCACAATCAGGCGGATGGCACGCCGGCTGCGGTTGATGCTGCCCATGTGCTGTGCCGGTGTCGACTGGCAATAATTGCATGCATGGAGTATGTGTCTGATAGAAAGTGATCAGTGGCCTTCGTTATTCGTGTTCTTTCTTGGCTATCCTTTGTCATATTGTAGGACATTTCGCTTTTGTGCGAATGGCCGCACTTGGAATGAACTACACCCTGGGCCTGTTGAAATCATGTGGGAATATGGGCGACTGACACCAGCACACGCAGGAGGAATGGTACCATGCTTTGCTTGATGTTTGGATTGTCAATGGGCTGCTTGTACGAATGGATTGTGAATATGTGAAATTCTACAAGATGGCCTATGTCCCCAGATAGTGGCAAATGTGCTGAAGGGTCAAAAGGGCGGTGGCTCCCTTGTTTCCTTTTCTCACTGGCATAACTGTCCCCCTTCATAACTGCCATTTATGTCGCAAACCGGTGAAGAAACACCTAGCCAAAACGTGGTCAGGATGGCACGAATTGGCCCCGTATCAGCCCGATCCGAAGTTCCGATACACGATTCGGTCCCATGTCAACACAATGGAAAACCATCAGGAAGGACTTCTAATTGGTGTATCTGTATGGGCCCCAAACAATCCAATTCCTTGGCCAGCAGCGGTGGTCACGCATCATCCCCAGCACTGAATCTGGCGGCATCATCCAATGAAAGCATCGTTCACATCAGCTCCCTCGGCCAACCGCATTTGACGGCGAGGAAATAGCATCGCAGCGGCATAAAAATGGCATCGCAGCAGGAGGGCGGGGTCCAAGTAGCACCAGCGCGGGACAGGCCGCGGCATCCGTCGCGCATTCACACATCCAACCAGCCGCACGCTCGTCGTCTGTGACCCCTCTCACTCCCAGAAGAGGCCAGGGCGCCCAAGGTCAACGCCAAAACGCCCACTTTGGGCGCTGACCAGCACAGCAAACGGACCGGCCAGCGCGCCGCTGTCTCCAGGCGGCCTCCCACTTTTACGGCCACCTCCCGAAGCCCCACGCCACCGCCCGCCGCCCTCGTTCGACGGGGATCGATCGATCCTTAGTGGGGCCCCGGTGCGCTGCCTGCTCCAGCGGCCACAAGGCCCCTGGTAACCCGTGCCTCGCCCGCCATCCGCAAGGCTGCGGAGGGGATCACCGACGACGCCGTCGGTCGCCTCGGTCCTTCGCGCTGAAGGGTCCTGCAGCCGATCGGCTCGCGAGCGCGCACAGCCCAATATTGCCGTCCACACAACGCCGGGCCACCCGCCCCATTATCTCCCTCGCCCCGATCCACCCACTCACACAATCCGCGATGCAAGTCGTCGGCCGCCGTCGACGGAAGCCAACAGGCGAACCAAGCGCGGGCGCCTGTCCGCCCCCGGTTGATCCCCTCGGCTGCCATCACGCATCCTCATCACCTAAATCAGAGGAGAAGGCCCAACAGCCCCTCATCCCACCCCACCCACCCCACCTCGTCTCCCCTGCGGCATAACCCCTTCAGTACCGCCAGCAGAGGGACGCCGTTTTACTATCCGAGCTCAGCAGAGACACGTGACACGACCAGCATGTCGATTCTTCACGCTGCCTGTGAGGACGTTCAACTCAACCCGTCGTTCACCCCAGCCAGCCCGGCTGTCCAAGGGCCATTGCTCGCAGCGCGCGTCGCGGGGACGACCCACTCGGGACATCCACTGCACGCAGCTTGAGCCGGGGAAGGCGTCCAGAAGTCAGTCTCCCGGCTACATCCGCGAGCGCCGGGCATGCAGCTGAGGTTCGAATTCGACAGAATCCGCCAACGGTGCGCCCGGCGACACCGCTGGCCGCTGGCCTCCCATCTCGCGCCCGCGGCGGCCGCCCGTCAGCCCATCCAACAGCAGCACCGCCGCGGCCGGGAGGCGAGCGTCGCCTCGACCATCGACGTGGCGTCGCCTCGACACCAGGAACCAACTGGTCTTCTACCATCGCGCAACCGCCGCGGCACCCACCCCAATTACCCTAAGCAGCCCCAATGCCTGCCGCCAAGGCCCCCTTCCCTCTTCCCACCCCCGAGATCCACGCAGACAGCTCGCTGTGGCTTCTTCGCGCCCCACGCTGCTGCCACGTGGAGATAGCGCCAATCCCCCCCGCCCCCCGTCCCCCGTCCACCCCTTAGGCCGCATGCGCGACAACGCCTCCGGCGTCACCCCCAGGCCGCGCGACGCCGGGGTCCGGTGCGCGTCGCCCACCCCAGCGCAGCGACGGCCGACGCAGCGCGGCCGGGTTTGACGAGCATGGTTCAGCGCCTCAGAAATCTCGGGTCGGCCGCGTCGCAAGTCGCCAGCCGCCATAGTTACCGACCCCCTCCAAACCCAAGCCCAACGACCCGTGTACATCCCCCCCCCCCGCCGCGGTCCCCCCACCCACACCCACTCCTCCCCTTTTACGCGCCTTCCCCTAGCAGGAAGCGAAATGAAGGGACGGCGCAGCGAGGCCCGGCACTCTCCCCCTTGTGCCCTCAAGGAACATTCATCAAATCCATGCCTCCAGGGGCTTCTTCTCTTCCAGCCGCAGCGAGCCAACGACGCTTTGCCATCCGCCCCCCGACGGCGGCGGAAGGCGTCGGGAAGTCAGCGCGCCGCATATGACCCGGCAGCGGTCCTGAGAGGCGCCTCTGGGGCCGGGCACGATCGCATTCGGCCTCCAACGCGCTTTGGGGCAGCCCACCTGAGGCGAAGGCCAGCGGTGTCCTCAGCGGCGGGAACTCGAAGCTCCGGGCGCAGCACGGGGCACGGGGGCGGGCAGCGGGGCACAGGGATGAAGTGCAGGCGGACAGTACTTGGCGCAGTACATGGTCATCACTGCTGGGCGCCGCAAAGGAGTGGCATTTCCTGGGGGCAGGCGATTGTTGCTGATGTCAGCAACTGGCTGCATGTCGTGCAGGGGACGCGGGTTGACGTCACGCGGACGACAATGCTTGAAAAGCCGGGATACCCTCCCCAACAAAGTAATCGGCGCATGGGCAAATGCTGCAGGGGCTGCACGCGGCTTTCTGATACTGTTCGGTGGTTTATTTAATACCACAATGATCAGTTGCCGCAAAGGGTGGCCGTCTGACATGGCAGCCACCCGGGCGAAAATCCCACAAAGCGCCAAGCCTTCGCCCGTCCCGCCCACCGGCTCGATTGGTTCTGCGTCGAAGGAGACGAATCTGGGGTTGGACAGCTCCCTCGCGAACACGCCAGCCACTGCGCCACGGAAAATATGGCTGAAACTGGCCTCCGGGCCTTGCACCTACGGGCTCACGCAGAAATCGGGTCCTTAGGTGAGAAACGCGCGGGAAGCCGCTTCGATTCCCACAGAATCGCTTGGAAACCCATGCACTCGAACGGCGAGATTGAAATGGGCGCGCTCTGCCGAAATTCGAGTGCAAGAGACCTCAAACTCTTGGCTGTGGGGCCGATCTGGTCGGGCTGCGCACCACGGCCTGTGTGCACGTGCCACGTACGAGGAGAATGCCACCAAAGTGTTTACAATTTCCTGGGCTATGGTCCGGCCGTTCAGCCCGTCAGACACTGGGCACAGCAGCATGCGGCTTGCGGCTCGCACACAGCATGGCAGCCACTCCCCAGATGCCCTAGCCACGTCAGAAATGGCAGTGCAATCAAGGCTTATACAATTTCCACCCGCCTCCACCCGGCCAGTGGATCCATCGGCGAAGATTCGCCATGAGCCGCATCCATCGCCGGTCCCACCCATTGCCATCGGTGCTCGCAGCCCCTCGATCTCGATGGCTGGTGCGAGCCAATCGACAGGCACTGCAGCGGCCGATCGGTGCAGACCCATCCTTCCAGCAGTCACCAGGAAAAAATAGGCCAGATGACACAGTCCTGACACGGTCTGCTGAAAATCAAACCGTGTACTTTCGGCAAATGTGGTCCCAAAAGTACACAGTTAGTACACATATTGACACAGTTTAAACCGTGCAACCTCACACAACTGTGTATACTACACGGTTTCCTAGGATGCACGGTTAAAACTGTGTCAATGTGTGTACTGAATGTGTACTTTTGGGACCACATTTGCCGAAAGTACACGGTTGGATTTTGAGCAAACCGTGTCAGGACTGTGTCATTTGGCCAGTTTTTTACTAGTGAGTGCTGCGTTGCCGAAAGCGAGTGAGGACGCAGGTTCGCGAACCAAGCTTGGCTTGCTTAAGCACGTGCGTCCAGAGGGGTGGCGCACAGAGCCCAGTGCGTCACCTCACTTCCCGGGATGCAGGACCTTCCGCGGTGTTGGTATCGTGTCCCATGTGTTGGTAGAATTGAGCGCACATCGAGATACCCATGCGTCTGCCCACATTGCCGTCTCCGTGTTCTCCCTTTGTATTGTAGTTCGTCCCTTTGGAGCTGACTAAGCCCTTTTTTCTCTTTTGCGGATTTTTTCCACTTCCTAACTACCTTTTGAGGCTCAAGGGTCGCTACCTTGCCATAAATTTCGTATCATATATTGGCGAACCGAACATTGCGCAAAAAGATAAGGGGAACGAGGTGGACTCCAGACACCCGCTCCTCGTAAATACGCCCAAAAAGGTGCCTATTGCAGTTGCCATGAATTCCTGAACTGAAGAAGCGACTGGGGCATGCCAATGTGCTCTGCTACTTTGCTGTGGCAGTACGTTCAGTTGCCCCGGATCACACAAATTTGTGCGATTTAAACTCGGGGTTTATATTGAGGAAATACAGAGTTTTCGTTAGGATTAAAGGCTAAAGCGTGATTATAAGATGCGTGCACCGAAAAAGAGCAATTGTTGCAAGTTGTTTTTGAGGTCTTCGGGTCCGCCTCAAGCGACTTTGTGTCTTCGGGTCCCTCTCAAATGATTGTCAATGTCGTCCGGTGTATCATCAAGCCAAGCTTTTGCCGGCCGGGTTACATTTTTATTCACTCT